TGGGTCGCAATCATATCTATTCATATTCATGAGAGAGTTAGGCCGCTTCATATTGAGATAATATGGACAGGGTGTCCATAAAGTGCACTTCCAATGCAACAAATGTATTCAAATGAATGCAATGAGCCGTGGAATTATTCCAAAATGAGCAGTAGATTTAAAATGGGCATGCCTTTTCTCCGACTTGATCCACTTTATCTCCTTCAATAACTTCAACGGATGTGACACGGGATGTCTTCCGCACTTAATCCCGTCGTTTTGCCGAGTCTGCATCTCCGACTTCATTTCAAGGGTAGCCTTGAATTGTATTTGCAATGAAAAACATTCTTCGGAAATGTCACTGTTCAAAATACGCTTCCAATTATTTTTATGTGAAGCGGGGTTGTTGGTATCTGTGTAATGTGACTCTTCAAAGTAACTTGTCATCTCACTTGGTTACTTTTAAAATCAAGTCATCATTTCAAGTCATCAAGTTAGTTTCTCAAGGTAACTGCGTGCGGCACTATTAGTGAGCGTCTCTGGTGAATATGGCGAATTTTGTTTGACATCATGCTCGATGCGCTCGCCCTGTTCTGAGATGAATTTGGAATTTGAACTCTTCCAGATGATTTACGAGGCACAGTTGCGTGCTGTTACGTTGCCTGTTTTCAATAATTGCGATGCGATTGTGGGGCTGCACAGAGCTGGATTGCATCGGGTAAATCTCGACTGAAGGCCGACTGGAAAGGGGCTATTCAGATATGATCCAGTCAAGGACGTTTGACGGTGCTTCCAAGAACCTTTTAGAGTTTGTTGTGCTTTTTTTTCCCCCCCAATTTGCGTGAGACAAGCAAATACCAAACTCGACTGTGTTTTGATGTGTGTTTTTTTGTTTTGTTGCGGAGCAGTCGCTGTCGCAGCGCTACCAGAAGCAGATCTCGTCGGCGGTCCGAGGTGAGGCTTACAAATACATCACATCTTCTTCTTCTTCAGATTCGATTAGATAAGAAGCACGGAGGGGGCCACAATTTGGCAGCAGCGCTACTGGAGTGCCATTTAGGATTAAAAAAAATGTTTTTTTTAAGGGGGGACACGTGTAGAGTGGCGCAGTTGGCTAAGTTACGCTCTCTAAGAACAATAGTGCAATTATTGTTGCCGTTTGACTCACCGTTGGGTCACTTCCTGTTCAGATGAAGTGTCTCGGGTTCTGCCCTCGCTGGTGCCAGAGGGCGGCACGTCGCCACGGCCCAAAGTCGCCGCTCACGTCACCGGAAGCTTCACACCCAAATTGGAGGGAGGAGGAGCAGGAGGAGGAGCTGGTAAGACGTCCGCAATGGAACACAAGAGAAGAGAATCAGCCTTTGCTCGACTCGCAAACGGCAAAGTTTCACTTTTACAGCAGCAGACCACAATCATGACAGAATTGAAAATGACCAAAACATCTGCTGCGCGGCCGTTATGTTTTGACATTTTCAATTGCGCTCCACAGACCGATGCAGCCGCTAGTTTTGATTGTAAAGTCAACAATCAATTATCGACACAAATGATAGTCGGCCATTTTGGCAAATTGGAGCAGCTGCTAACCGAAACAAGCAAATGAGATGCGATGCGTGGCTGCGTCTGGCATGAGCTGCAAAATTGCTGTCCAACCTGCTTCCCACATAACAAGGGCAAGAGAGCAGAAAATAAAACGTTTTTTTTTTTCTTCAAAACTCCACCACTTGAAATGTGCGTGCAAAACTGCTCGGAATAATCAAATCATGAGTCATTCTCATTCTGCTGGCATTACGCAGGATTCTTTTGTTCAGAATCAATTAACCCGATACTGACCATAACAAGGCATTTCAAGCTGGTTCTAATGTTCGCAACCGAGCCCCAACTGCCAACAGACACCAGACAAGGTGGCGTTAAAGCGCTGCTTTGATATGAATGAAACTCCTCTTCACATAGTGTAGTTTCCTTGGTGGCAAGATGCCACAAAATGATGCCAGAGCACTGTGAAATGAAACTCCTAAACTCACTTCAATTTCCTTAGTAGAAAGATGTGAATTATGTTTCTCAGTCAAGAACAGAATAAAGGTCTCAAAGGAGGAAAAAAAAGGAACGATCCACAGGGAACACTGTAAAGTGAATTAGATTTACAGTTCGGCAGTCTCAAATTTAATTTGAGGGGAACATATCACCTTTTATGCATTAAAAATCTCATCTAGTTGCTGTTTTTGTGCTTGGCCTAAGTGGATACAAAATGATTACATCGCGGTCAAAAACTACGCTGAAGTGAGGGGAGGCGCTTCATTTACACTTTGTGTATTAGAATTAAGACGCTTTGCTGCCACCTTGTGGTCATCAGCAGCTATTATAACCCTTTTTGGGTGGGCTTCAATTTCAATTGCTTGCAGATGTTTGCTGGTTGGTGCATGTGTTGAAATAAGGGGGCTACTGTCAATACTTGTCGATGCGAGATTTAGTTGTAAAAAATAATTTAAAAAAAAACTACCACCTTCTTAGAATAATGGCCTCAGTCATATTTTGACAAACATAAAATGTTATACATCTCTTACGTGCGATGACGTACCCGATTTTGTCGCCGTGTTCAGTCTCCTCCGCAGGGGCGACGGTGGCCATCCGGCGCGTTCACGGCCAAAAGATTTCGTGGTGGGAGGGCGAGAAAGGTCTGGCCTTCCTGCAGGACGTCCAGCTGGTGGACGGCGAGCTGGTGGTGCCGCGGCCAGGCCTTTACTACGTCTACGCCCAGACCTACTTCAGACATAGCCGCGCCCTGGACGAGGACGCCCAGGAGGACAGCGGCGAAGACAGAGGAAGGCCTCTCCTGCAGTACATCTACAAGAAGGTGATGGCGCTCTCGTGCATTTTCCCACATCCTGCCTGATCGCTCCTGCAAAAGCTGAGCATTATTTTTTTTCTCCCCCTCACAAAAATCCAAATCTCAATCACAAAATGACAAGTATCAAAATATCTGTCGTGTGGCGCAACCATGTTGCGAGTGTCAGCAGTGCACATCAGCAAAGACACGCTTTGGCCTACAGAGGGTGCTAAAAAATAAAAATGAAATTTATGGTTGATGAGCTTTTTCTCCTCGCTTTTTGCAGGTGAGCAGCTACCCGGTTCCCATCCTGCTGATGAAGACCAGCAGGACCTCCTGCTGGTCCCGGGACTCCCAATTTTCGCTGCACTCGGCCCACCAAGGGGGGCTCTTCTCCCTCAGCCCCGGAGACCGGCTCTTTGTCACCGTGACCAACGCCTCCGCCGTGGACATGGATGAGAAGAGCAGCTTCTTTGGAGCCTTCCTCATCAGCTAGAACGCAAGGGGGCGCTGTTGCACTTTGAAGGCCTTTGGAGGAACCTGTCAAGCAAAACTTGGTGAACATCAACGTTACATGCCAAGGACGAACGCGGGAGTGGCGCCGAACGTCGACGGGAGATGAGGTGGCAATGGTCACGACTATTTGCAAACTTTTCTTCGAATTGAAAAAAATAAATAAATCAACAAAATGTCCTACCCAACTCGGCCACTAGGAGGCTCCCTTCCACAAATGGTTTATTTGTGGAAGGGAATTCTTCCTTTTCAGATGATTGATGCCATCAGAAAGTGCTTTTCTCAAGCACTTCCGAGTTTTGAAGACACGGATGCATTGAGGAAAAGGGTGATCTTCAAATCTGTGTACTTACAAGATGTTCGTAATCAACCTTGTTTGTGCTTTGTTCATGTTTGCCCGCTAAACGTGCGTGGAATCCGAAACGAGCGAATGGCTCCAATTTTTTGCTGTTCACTGAATAACTCGCCCATCGCCATTTGGTGACAATCTTGGTGCTAAAGAAACCGTTTTTTTCCGTGACTCGAGGGGCTTCACTTGGACCAAAGTAGCCCTTTGCCACCATCTTGTGTCATCAACAGGCAACTTCAAACCCCCTTCAGAGTAGCGTGATTGACTCGCAGATTCCAATTGTAAAGAGGAAGGGAGGATTGCCTCTCAGATGTAAATAAAACGTGACTGTAAATATCTTTGATCTGTAAATATGTGCAATAAAGATTTTGAAACTTTCTAACAAAATATTACCAGTTGGTGTTTTTTTTTTTTTTTGCTTGCTTGGCCGTCAATCTGCTTAGTGGCGCCACCTGTGGACAACTGTCAGAAGAAGAGCATCAAAGACTCAAGTCACAGCAGTCAACTGTTTGGATTTTCTTTTGTTTGTGGAAATATGATACAGTTATATTACAGGTACTCAAATGCCCGAGGAGGGTGGAGGTGATGGGAGGAGGGTGGGGGGCAACGGCAATGGTGGACACCAGACATGAAACGCAAAGACAGCGACCCTCAGAGAATCTACAATAAATACTCCTAACGCACGTTAAAAAAAAAAAAAAAAAAGAGCTCAACCTCATCCTCGTCTTTTTAGCAGCAAATTGGTGAGGGGAGGGAAAAAAAAAATTAATTTAAAAACGACGTCGACATGAGGAGTGCCTAAACACAAAACAGCACGGTAACACCCCCCCCCCCCCCCAAGAGGAAAATGAAAAGTAAACTCACGTGTAAGCTGGTGGATGTTTTTCCTTTTGTTTGTTTTCACTTCCTGTCACATTTTTTCTTTTTTTTTGAACTTCCAGCCTGACTTGCCAAAAAACATACGCCCTCCGTGGTGCGCCTGGGGCGTATGTCGCAGACTTCAATCATTCGTTTTCTGTTGTCCTCATCGGGCTCGGAGTCGCCAGACAAATAATGAAGCATTCACACTTGGGGCTAATTTCGAGTCTTCAATTGAACAATGTTCCTGGAATTTGGGAGGAAGAAAAGTTCAGAGAGGAAACCCGGGAGTTTGGATTCAAACCCGGAACCGCAAAAAATGTGCCAAGCGTTTTGAACATGGCGCCAAAATGTTTGTGTCTGCTTCTTCTCATTAGTGTTGAGCTTGTGTGATTTTTCAGCTCAGAGCGCCAATTGTTGAATTGGTTTCATTTTTCAAAGTCAAGATTGAAAAATTGGAGGTGGATTTGAATTTCTGCTTTCTTGGATTCGAGTCCTGACTGAGGACCGGTCGCTCGTAAATCACAGGACAAACACTCCCATTCACACCTACGGACAATTTAAAGTTTTCAATTAACCTAACATGCATGTTTTTGGCATGTGGGGAAAAGAACACGCAAACTCCACGCAGGAAGCCCAGATTCGAATGCAGAACTGCGAGCCAGAAGCGTTAACCACTCCACCCACCGTGCTGCCCTGTCAAAGACGTAATGTATAAAATAGATCCTACAATGGCTTCCACGTAGGTTCATGTACAAAACATTCATCAATATAAATTATACCAGTCAGTGATGACGACGACGACGACAAAGCTAACGGCGACGGGCGTGACGGTAAAAGACACGTGACCGCCAAGTCCCCGGGGTGACCCGACGGGAATGCGTGCGAGACGGGGGCACCAAGTTTTCGAGTGGGTGGAGAGTCAACAGTCAAAGTGCATCTCCAGCGAGTCGTCAAAGGCGCGGCCGTCGTGGCCCGCCGCCGACAAGAAGGCGGTGGCGACCGGCGAGCCCGTAGCGCCGGCCACGTTGAGCAGGGCGGCGCCGGGTGCGGCGCCGGCCGGCCCCCGCAGGGCGGCGGCGGCGATGCTGGTGAGGTTGATGCCCAGCGTCAGCCGTGTCTGCTCCAGGGCTTTCTCGGGCACGGCGAAGGCCTCCAGCTTCTTCTCGCCGTTCGCCATGTAGGAGTTCTGGCAGCCGCGGCAGATGCAGTCCTGGCACGCCTACGAAAACACACATCCACACACAAATGAATAGGTTAGACGTAGATACATTTTGTAGGCATTGTTTTGTCTTTGCGCCCCCACGAAAACTACTGACTGTATTCTGCCGATTGTATTACAATGCAGTGCAGTGCCCCTAGTGGTGGAAGTAGTTAAAACCACCCAAAATTGCATTACAGTACAGTAAAGTGCCCCCTAGTGGCAGAAGTAGTTAAAACCATTCACAAAATTTTGAATAAAATGAAAGTAGCAATAATAGCAGTCATTTATGTCGATTAATAAAGAGAAAACTAAGTTTTGATGTCAAGCGTAGGCCGTCTGCCTTATGCTGGGTTGCTCACCTTGCGGTTGGAGTAGCACGGACAGCGCTGCCCCCTGCAGGTGAGCACCGAGGGGTTCTGTGTGGCTCGGCCGCACTTGCAGCCTTTCTTCTCCACGGGCTTCTTGTACAGCGGCTTGGAGGGGCTGGCCGGGTGACTGAGCGGGTGAGCGTGGGGGTGGGGGGGCCCGCGGGGCTGCGAGCGGGGCTTGGGGGCCCTGGCCTTGGCCTTTTTGGCGCACCCGTGGTGCTCCCCCGTCTTCCTAGGCGGCTTGCTGGAGCCCGGCGGGCCCTTGCCCATCTTGGGCGGGCCGCCGTTGGGCACGGGCGCCAGGTGGAAGTTGGGCGTGGCGGCGGTGAAGTCGCACACGGGGGTGGCGCCGAGGCGGGGGCAGTGGGGCGTGCCGTTGGGAGGGGGTCCACGCAGGAGGCTGTCGATGGGGAGGGGCCGCAGCTTCTCGCTGTCGCTTTCCGAGCGGGAGCGCTTGCGGTGGCAGCGAGAAGGTCCTCGGGGGGCGGCGCTGGGGGACTGAGGGGTCGCTTGCGGGTGAGGGCGAAAGGGGTGACAGCTGCTCTCCAGAGGGAGGGCGGGGCAGAGAGGCCCGTTGACAGACAGAGGCGTGGGGGGGTCGTCGGGCTCGGTGTCCGTGTCAAGAGTCCGCAGAACCTCCTCCACGCTCAGCAGCAGCGGCCCCGCTCCGTGTTTCAGCTCGTCGCCGAAGCCGCCCAAGTCGCAAAGGCCCGCCACCGTCCCCGCCGGGATCTCCTCGCAAAAGTCCTCCTGCTTGACGACCGCTCGGCCCGGATCCAGCGAGGAGACCAATCCGTTACAATCGTGAAGCCCGTTGACACCGGCGGTGGTGGCGATCTCGTTGGGATGCGGCGCTTCCTCGGGTGGCGCCTCGCCTTCCGCGGGGTCGGGCTCAAGTTCAGATTCGGTCTCGCTCTCGGCCAGCCGCAGGCCCTCGTTGAGGACGGCCTGCAGGTCGGGCGAGTCGGCGGCGGCGCCGGCGATGTGTGTGGCGAGCGGCGAGTGCGTGATGTACAGGCACAGCTTGCGATAGCATCGCACCAACAGGGACAGCTGCCGGTTCTCCTGGAACCGCGAATAGTCTTTGCACCAGCTGCACGACGGCTTCAGCTGCATCCGTTGACCTTTGCACCCGCGGCACACATAATGCTGACACGATGAGTCGGTGGGTGCCATGGGGTCTTGCAGCAGGTTACCTGCGACGCAAGATGGAGGACAGCAAACGTTAAAGTACAGAAAAAAAAAATTATGGCCATAGTGCAAATTGATCAGCATCAGGGCACTTAATTCACCATTTAGACACCTTTCCCACACTCCAAAATGTCACCTCAGTAGTTCCCCAATACTTTTTTGAATTCAATTCAGCCCAGATTGAGTTGGCAAGAAAAAAAAAAAGGTAGGCATGTCTAAATCCTTAAGATTTTGTCCGAGATACAAGCCAGATAGCCATTGTAAGAAAAGTTACTTTTGGCCATTGCGTGTTTGACGAAGCACTAGAACACAAAACTAATTACTCAACCCTGACTAAACAAACTCTTTCAGTCAGACGATTCTTATCGACGCCTCCATGCGGCCCACTTTCCTTCTTTTTAACATCCGGGAGCCTTTCTTTCGTCACGAGCATTATATCTGGAATGGATGAACTTTTCCTCCTTCCTGTCTCCTCACAGCTGCCTCAAGTGTGTTTATTTATATTCCGCGGGCGACAAACGGCTCTTTGAGCGCCGCTTCCTTAGCGACGTTGGCCGCGAACGTCTGCAGCTGCAGGCAGGAAAAAAAAAAAATAAGTGATGAAGGCTCATTGATAAGGGCAACCGCAGCTTGTATGGGCCACTGTCTCATATTGATCATTCATTCAGACTGAGGAGGATGAATGGGAAGGAGAACGTTCAGAAAATACAATCAGTACACCCATCCATCCAATTGACACACGTTACGTTGAATCCAAAACGTCAGAATTTTAAAAATTCTACTTATGACCATTTTTTTCCCCACTGAAAATTCACTCTGCTCGAGTCACATGGAAATCCAAAACAGCAGCGCACAAGAAGAGCACAAAGGGGGTGTGTCGTGATGCTGGAAGCTGCCTTCACTATCCCCGGGAAAACAAAAGCTCACATTGCCACGGGAACAAGATTTCATCACTTTTCCCTTCCGATTGGAAAGCTGCTGTGCGAAACGTGTTGAAAGCAATACTTTTAGTCAATACAATAAAGAATCGACACATAACGTGCAGTGGTTCTGCGCGGGTCAGTAAGCTGTCAGAATGTAAACGGAATGTAAAATAGTGCGACGGATAGGTAGGATGGCGGCACGATGATTGTTTTGAAGTGATGTGGGACAATGACTTGAAGAGTTGCATTGCGACTAAATTGTGAATTACTCTTCGTCACTTCCGACTGCACTTAAACGCATCATCACGGAAAAAAACGCCCGCATGGCAGCTGACAACAACCACGCAAAGCACGCCAGTCAAATGATGAAAAGGCAACTGAGCAAACGTTCGTGCAATAGTCGCATTCTTGCACTCACCGCAGACCAAACAGGACACAGACTGCCGGAAGAAAGGCAGCAGCTTGCACATCTCGGACAGGGCGCGGGGGTCTCGGGGGTCGCACTGCAGCACCGAGCGGCTCGCAGACACGTAGAGCGACGTCGCGTTCACCGGGTTCATCGCAGCGGCCTGACCCGGCGAGCCGGTCCGCTCGGTTCCGATGCGTTCAAAGCAGCAAAAAAGTGTCCGGGAAACACAAACACGACACGCGGCGAATGGACTGTGGGGGCTTTGAAGACAACATAGGGGGCCAGGGTCTTAACCTCGCTTCCTCACTCCCATCCCAAATCCAGCCTCAATGCAGAGTCGTACACAAGCAGGCCCTGGTTCGGTTCGGTGGAGCATAGTGTGCAGACCGGAGCCTGGACGTCGCTTCAGAGCCGCTCGGCCGGGGCTCTCTCATGGGGGCTTTGGTTACAAAAATGACCCGCTTTGCTGCGGCTGCACCGCGATACTTCCATAGTCGGTGTGCGTACTAGGCCCGGTTTGAAAAGCGGCCGCCGTGTTGGTGTCATGGAAGGCGGGCCCGGTACCGGACCAGTGGTCTTCCGCGTCTTGTTATTGTTCGCCGAGACTCATGGCGGCCCACAACAAACCAACCAAAAAGGCCGCGTCGTCGCCAACAAGCTCTCCTTTGGGTACAAGCAGCAGCGCCTGGGCGTCGATGGGCTAGCAGTCCACCCTGGATGAGATTTAAAGTTCGTCAAGGAAGAATTTCGCGGCTCCACCGGTTTGCTTGGGAGCGAAAAGCTGAGGGCAGCGGAAGCCTCGGGCTCTCGTGACGGCACTCGCCGCCCGAACTACACAGGAAAGCGGGCTGGGGAAGCAGGCCGCAGGGGCTCCGCGCGGGTGTCAGCGGGGTTCAACTCTTGCCGTCGCTCCCCTCGGTGGTCTTGAGGCGTCCAAAAGGAAACTTGGAACCGAAATAAAAATCCTCTCCGAGCGTCGGTGGAGCCAGCGGCCACGAAAACTGAATTTAGTCCGTGTTTGTGTTGGATGCTACAGCTAGCAGCGGCGTAGTCCACATACCGCCTGTCGCCTTTCCCACACACGTCCACCAAGGGGCGCTGTGCAGCAAATCTCGCGAGGACGTTTATGACGTAGTTGACGTCACGAGACGCTCATGAATGAATCTGATCAGATATCAACTTTGTTTCAAAATAAAACAAAAGCATTTAAATGTTTTGAAAGTATGATAAAAATTAAAAGTATGAAAGTAGATCTCTATTGAAATAATAATTGTCAAGGAAATTAATGAAGTTCGTCAACCCCCTTCCCCCCCTTTTGCATCTTGATTGTTGCATTTTAATTCCTGTAATTGCCTCATTGAGCTTTGTTATGTCTCCTGGGTCGTCCGTAGCACCTACAACCTTAATGAGGATAAGCACTGTAGAAAATGGACAGCTGATTGTACTACAATTTTTAATAGTGACCACATGGCTGTGACTAATTCCTCTTCTTAGAGTGTTTCAGCAGTGTCTCGCGCCACAATGTTTTAAAATCATTATGCTTTATAGTGTCGTCGCCTGCTCCCTATGAGGTCTATTCTTAGCAGAGCCGTGATTCCCCCTGACTCACACATTGCACTAAAATAAATCTTTGCGCATATATGGGCACAATGATGCCAAACTCTGGCAGCTTCCGTGCCTTTTTCCGACTGCCTAATTATATTTTCCACTTCACACACATGTGCATGGTACACATGCTTCCTATTTTGCCGCGTGTCGTCGTAGTACTTAAGGACAACACGCATCGGGCTTCTATCACATCACCAGCAGAGTCCAGTTCGTGGAGCGTGTAAGGATGTGGACCACTCTCGAGACCCGATGTTGGATTTTCCTCTTCATCTTTGGATTTGTGCTGATACAAGGTAAATTTGTGGGTGACATACAGCTGCAGTGGGAGGTAAAATCCTCCCTTGGTCTAAACAATATCAGTAGCTCTGACCTCAATTATAAATAAATTAATCGTGCTGTATGTAGCACACTTATGTGCTGTTGTATTGCGTTTGTATAGGCCAAGGTACCAAATACATGGACCACCACTGCAGATGTATTTCTTGTTCTGTGATTCTGTAGTGGATTCCAACGTTCCGGATGTGCGGCTGCCTTGCTGTCGCAGCGTAGGCTCCAGGAGGTTTCTGCGTATCAAGCGGTGCTTTGAGCAAAAACCACGGGAGGACTGCAAGCAGCACGCCTTCCTGTAAGCGACACCAAAAAAAAAAAAAAAAAAACCCCACACACAAACAGAACAGCGCAGGACGGTTCTTTTGATTAGGATCATCCCTGGAACTTGTGTGACCACAACTCACCATGGATGCTGCGTGGGGGCAAAATCACTCATGATTTGAACTCTTTTGTAGCATCGTAACCAAGAGTGGCAAACAGTGGTGTGTCAGTCCTGCGGCCAAGTGGCTCAAAGACATGATGGATAAGGTGAGCGTGTTTAAACACTGTCAAAAGTCTTGAACATGTGTCTATCATCCCGCAATCATAACGGCTTGGGCCCCAACACTGACTCCTGTGGGACACCACAAGTAAATATCCCAAGAAGTTGATCAGAGATTAGGTTTCACAAATTTTTTTTGACAGTTGTGGAAATAACTTTATTTAAATGAAACATGAAAGGTAATTTTCCAGGCATCCACTGTAAAGGTTTTCATAAAGAACTTAATAGCTGTTGCATAACATGCTGTAACAGACATGACGAATAAAAGGGCTAACATAAAATATGCGTGATGACCTCGACCAAAATTAAAATACACAAGAACAGATGGGGTGAAGAAAATAATTGCGCTCACTTGGTGATTCTCAAACAGCTGAGCACCATTCGTCACCTTTGCACTCCCCCAGTGGTTTTCACTCCTCCACCCAGATCAACTATTTCAGGCTCTTCTAATGACTGACTCATTGTCAGATTGTTCGCTCGGTACTTATGAAAGCTGCACTAGCATGAGCTTTCTTGGAATTATCTTCAGTTGCCAATGCGGTCCATCACCCGACCTTCCTGCCTCACCTGCTACGCTCAACCGCGACTTTTACCTGAGCATGTTTGCCTTTCCCCGTGGTTGCTTGTTGTATCTTTGAATTTCGGAGCATGGCATGACCTGGCTTCAAACCCCATTCCCATCTGGATTTTGTAGTTAACATTCCTGTCGCGTGGTATGCTGCAGTTGAGTTCGACATACACTCGTGTCAGATTCAGTTGAATATCCAGGCCCGTTATCACGCCTGACTTGTGACCATGGACTTTTCATCAGATGCCACAGAGCCACGACCAGACCCGCCAGAACGAGACAAAACAACTCCATCTCGTATTCGTTCGAGTTTCAAAAGTGCCTTGCTGACTTGAACAGCTCACAAAATGATGTTTCAACCCGCATAAATGTATACAATTGACAACAGTGAAGCTGACGTGTGCTTGACTGTTAAAAGCTATTTTATGAGCCACATTTAAATTGCTTCCAAACGAGTTATCTGGATTGCACGTGAACTGAATTGAGGCGATCGTCCCCCATCATAAAAAGCAAAGGTTGATGTATCACAAGTGGGGGGAAAAGCCATGTCGTCTAATAACTGTCACAGCCACTGAGTGCTTTACCGAATAAAGTGAGTCGCGGTAAATTACACGGTGCTCCTTTCCCACGTGTAAAGAGTTAAAACCGAGATTGGGTGGTTGAAGGAGAAAGGAGGGCGGGCCCGCTCAAAGTGTTTGTGACATTTCAAGGGTTTCAGTGACAGTCGGAATGTTAACAAGCGCAAAAGAAGAACAAATGTTCCCACAGCGCGTTAAAAGGAAATGGAGGAGGAAGAGGAGAATCTTGCATCAAGACTTCCTCACTCGTAAACAAAATCAGCTCTCTTTCAGATCACATTTTTTTTCCCTCCATATTTGCAATCGGTGCTTCCTGACCTGTGAACACGGTACAGCGAATCCCCGGTGAAACACATTTCACCGTCTCAAAACAGACTTTTAAATGTCAGTAACTGCAATCTATTTTTTTTAATGCCAACATATCATAAGAAACCTCATCGAGGGGCGAGAAGCAATAATGTAAATTATTGTTATTTAAGAAACAGAACCTCTATGTAGAATTGTACAACTTTAAATAACAACATAGGCGTCATCTCTTCCATGGAACTCCACGACAGCACAATTCTCCTGTATACCAAAAAAAAAAAAAACCCACCAACAACCAAAAATAATCTGTGCTATTGAGGAGGAGCAAATGACGAACAGCCTCGACCAGACGTTTTTGGTATTACTGCGAAATGAGTTAATTGTCACCGCCCAAGCGTGGCTCAGCAAATGTGTACTTGTGCTAATTCATCGCGCCTCGTGTTTGTCTTCCGTTTTAGAACAAGTTGAAGTGTTCTCCGGCGATGTCCATGTGGTCCTCCAACTGAACATGTCCCACCAGAATTTTTTTTATTTTCTATTTATTTTTTTCTTACACGAATATCCTCTTCTCCCCAAAAAGTTATTTTTGTATATTTGTTACATTTTTTAAGCTACAAAAATAAAAGCTGATTGGATCTTTGACCGGATGTTCACTTGGCGTCAAATAAATCAGCAACGAACTAAAGTGAGTCAAGATTTTGCCGCTGTTCCTGAATGTAGTGCCACTCTTCTCCACTGGGTGTCGCCAAAGAAGAGCAAGGACGAGAAACTGCCGACAATTCAGCGCACTGCTTTACGACTTTTTAAAAAGTTTTTCATGGCCTGTTCACAAGAGCAAGCTGCATTTTTTTCTTTCGCAAAGAAAAATGGAAATGATGAAATGATAAAAAGTTACAAGAGAAAGAATAGCGGTCATGACTTGACGATTTACAAATATTTACACATTTATTGACAGACTGATGAGGATTACTGTTACCTCATCTTAGCATCGCGTGACTCAGCTGACCACACACATACAAAGACACACACACACACACACACACACATTTTGTGACACACACACAGACATCCTTCCTGTTTGCGTGAAAAAGGGAGAACACACGCATGCCGGAAGGAATCACGGACACGATTAGAAATCACGAATGATGTCCACGAATGATGTCCACACATTTTCCATCGTACGCCTCATTTACTCAGCACTTGTTTGACACTTGACATATTTCTTTCGCGTGGGCGCGTACCGTGCTCGACGGCTCATTTACTTTGGCGCTGCCTCATTTGTGTCAATGACACGAACGAACAATTGTCTTTTGTTTTCAAAATGTTCAAAATAAGGATGAGACAAAATGGAAAAAAAAAAACTGCGATTTAAATTTATAGGCTCCAAATAAATATCAAGTCAAGGTCTGACGTGGCTTTTAATCGCTCATGCTGACATATCAGGACAGATCTGAAATCGTATTTTGTCACGAGCTACAAATAAGGGTAGTCTGAGAAGCCGCAGTCGAGAGAAAAGAGAATGACGCTTAAATTCAAAGTAGACTTCAATATAAGTCGGAAGCATGTCAGTAAAAGCGGATCTATTTTTGGGGGGCATAGTGCGCTAAGCGAGAGCAGACGCTTGTGGCACTTGACCCCGTCTCCGTGCTGATCATGTGGTGACATGTCAGAAAGAAAATGGAAAGAGAAAGAAAGAGCAAGTCACATCAAAAGATCCGGTAGTGACACATACACACACAGCACACACGACCCGCAACAGACAAAACCGCAGGCAGGAAGGCTCAGCACAGACAGCACTTCTTGAGGAAGCTGAAGAAAATGTGGAATTCCCCCCCGCCCCAAAATTGCTCAGCAAATTTTACAGATGCACAACGGAAGTAGACCACACAACACATCGGTGGAGGAGCCTTCAAACCATGAAACGACACATTTGAAAGCCGTGCCGCAAAGGGGGCACACAACATGATCCCAAAAAAACAAGCACCCCCCCCCCAAAAAAAAAACATGCTTGTCAAACTTCTCCCATCTGGCAGACGCGACACCAGCGTGGGGACTAAAAAAAAAAACTTCTACCCGAGCAAATGCCGATGTGTCACCCCCACTGTGCAATACTTCGACGTTAATACTGTACAATATCTCCACATCCTAAATTCGACTAAATAGAATTCATCCATCTTTTGCGCATTTGATACCTCTTTTTTGCACGAATAAAGCTATTTTCTGACAACTTCACTCAAACTCAGAGTCTGCTTTTT